CCCCAAAACCCCAAAACCCCAAAACCCCAAAACCCCAAAATTTTAATATTTGGTTGAAATCTAACTTGAGTGTAGAATTATTAAGCAAAGGTAACATCAGCCATAGTCTCAATGTTGAAGTAAGTGAAAGTGGTACCTGAAAGACGGTAAGTATCTTTCAGAGCTGCCAGTCTGGATTTATCATCTACATCATATAAATATAGCACTTTCAGAGATTCTTTAAGAGACGTGAGTGATATAAACTTAATCAAACTCTCAAGACTTGAACAATGATCTAATCTGAGACCTTTGGCACTATTACATTTCCTAAACTTCAAAATTTCCAGTGCTGAGTTCTTTGGAAACCCCTCAAATTCTTTGATTTCTTCTATTACTCAGGCATTAAATATCAGTTGGTGAATTCTCCAACAACTCTTGAGAATTTTAACTAGCATTCATTCTGTGACTCTCATTGCTAAATGTAAGGAGTAGCCTACCTGAAACATGACAGTCAATTTTTGAAGCTGGAAAGCTTCTCAATAAAGGTTTGAATATAGGATAGTTAATTTTATTGCCAAAAAGTTTATTCAAACCAATAATAAGTTTATCCAGAGAACTCCTTCTAATATTCATCGCCATTTGGTGATGAAGCTTAGTTTTACTCCCACTTGCTTTGATGCAAGCATGTATTTTTAAATCTCTGGGGAGGACTACTTTTGCTAGATCTTTAATCACATCCTCTTCGTTTAGCTACACAAATGTATAAGTTTATACACTAAAGTGATCACATTGATCTCGAAAGTTAATACCCTTAGTGAGAAATAATTAATAATCTATACGAAGCTTACCATATTTATCGTGTAAGTATCAGCATTTTTCTTGAACACGCTTAATGGTGAAGATCTCTTGAAGTCAGAAATGACTTCTAGAACATCTTGGTTAATTGCTTCCTCTTTTAAAGCTATCTCAGTCTCTTTGGAGATCTTTTGAGTTGGATCTGGTCAGGGTGGGGTTGCTTCCATTGATGACTTTGAATAATTATTTTATGTTGTTGTTTCAAACTTTTAAGGTTAAGGTGGGGTTTTGGGGTTTTGGGGTTTTGGGGTTTTGGGG